AGTACTCGAGCGACGTGCTCGTGAGGCGGCAGTGGCGGGGCGTCCATCCGTAGCGCTTGAACAGTCCGTTGCCCGAGCTCTTCTTGAACAGCGTGCCGCTTTTGAAGGCCATCGGGAATTTCGGAATGGCGGGCGACCTTTGTCGCCGTGGCAACAACTTTTCATGTTGATTTGTCGGTCGTCGTCCAGTTCAGGGGGTACGCAATCTGGATTCGCCGTTTCGCAGATAAAACGTACACGAAGAATGCATGTTTGCTGTTAGAGTGTAGTTCGTCGGCCAGGGCGTTTTAGGTTAAACTTGGATGGACGCGTGCGTCCATGTGGCAACGACGTGGGGCGCGCACCCGCCTGCCTCATTCAACATCCAGGCGACATTGCAAACGCCTGCAAAAATGCAGTATCGACCAAAGCGATCGTGGCCTAGAGGCCAGGCAATATCATTTCCAGTGCGACAGGTCGGTGTGTGGGCCGCCACGGGTTTGCAAAAACAGGGGTGTGGTCGATTGCCCATGTGCCTGTTGGCAACTGGCGTGTTCCTCTTATGTAGTCGCCTGCGTATGTTGGACAAACAAGTGGACGACGAATACGGGCGAGCCAGGCTGCGCCGACAATGCCACACCGCGACATTGCAAACGCGTGCCCAACATGCCTGCCGTTGTCTCACAGTGCCATGCTTGCTTGCCCCGGTCGTCGTGTGCACGTAAAGGTATACGTGCGTGTGCACGCCAGAGATCATGGAACTGCGCGACAACCGCAACAAAGCCATCTAGGGTCATGGCGTTGGATGAACCCGTGCGGACGGACCAACAACCCGACAGAGATCAGCGTCTTGTTCAGGAACGCAGGCACGGACGATTGGATGGCAACTAGAGCACTCGCGTGGATTTTGTCGAGGTGCCGTCCTTCCTCACGTAGTTGCTTCAACCTGTTCGACGTACCGGCGCGTAAGTAATGTTGGATACATGAGACATCAGCGTCCCCAGCGGGAGGAATGAGAGAATCCCATCGCGTCGGAAACATTTCCTCGAGGGTGGGGGGGTACACACTTGAAGTGTCGGGACTGCGCCAGACAGATCCCACCGTGACGATAGTTGTTGCCACCGAATCATTCCTGGTGAAGGTACCATGGGGCCGACGACGGCCGTCAGGTTGAACGCGTGGCGATCGGTTTTATAAACATGTACAAAATCGTTGGAAAAGGGCTGGGTGCCGTGTGGTACGATGTGGCTCCGATATTGTTTGTGCAATTCCCAGTAACACCGGGGGATCGGATTGCACCATCACAGCAAAATTCGGTGGTCAAAGTCGTCAACGGATGTTACAGGAGTGGTTTCGGGGTGTTCTTGGATCGTTCGTGTTGCACGGAGACAGGGATCGAATTGAGTAAACCATGGATACGTCAAAAGTGAAGTTCAAAGTGGTCCCCATTGTCGCAGGACTGGATCCTGGCTTAGATCCCTCTCTCGGCGCATGCCTTTTCCACGGTGGAGAAGGCATGCGCCGACTGGAGAGTCGTTCACCAAGCAATCATTTTGGTCCACACGTTCGCATGGGCCACACGTTTTGCTCGGCTTTCTCACAGCATACGTGTGTCAGATCGGCCAGCATCGGTTGCCAGATTCAGAGGGCTCCGCGCAAATGTCGCAATGACTGGTGTGCGACATCGTCAAGTTTGATTCGAATGGACGCCATGATTGCACGCCATAGGGTGCGGGAGCGTGTGGCGGAAGGCGCAATATATTGCGCCGATCGACAAGGCGACAGATACGCAGTCGCACGACCAAGATTTGACTTGTCGTTCGATCTGCACCAACCGCATGCCCAACATGTTATTTCACATGGGGGATGTGTGCGTGAGAAAATACCCGTTTGTACTTGAAACATCACCGTCTTCGACGATTGTCTGTGCGAACGGCGCCGTGGAACTGCCTAGGCGCATTGGCCGCCTGCACATTGCCCACCATGTGCAGGTAACCCCTGGAAAAAGCCGACAGGGTGTCGACCTTACAGTGCCCGACCGTAACGGGTAGAGTTCACCTGTATTTTTGCAAATGAACTCGGATTTATATAAGAGTTTGTATGCGAGATGCGCAATTTCAAGGCATTTCAACCTATATAGATAAATGCCTTCAAAAAGGCATATTCTTTGAAATAAGTTAGATTGTATGCAGGATTCTGTACCAATTCACACCTTGTCACCCAATAACCTTTGTACTTGGATGTTTAATCGGGCAATTTTGAATATTCATTTATAGAGGTTTCCAAAAAACGTACCACACAGTACCCTCAATTTTGCATACACTCCATGAGGTAGTTTCGTCGCTATTGTTGAGCAATGCAGTGGTTTCATAGCAGTAGTTTCACAAGAAGGGCTGTCGTCCATTTCATTTGCACTTCATCGCATGACCACCAATGCACATACTTGCATGGAGTTCGTGAAGATGGCGCGTCCTCGTACGCTCACACGGGAGGAGCGTTTGGACATTTTGCGCTTACTTGCATTCTACAAGAGCCAGGGCGAGTCTAACTGCCCCAAGCGAGTGTCCGAAGCACTCGGATGCAACATTGCTGTCGTTCGTGGTGTTTGGAACGATCATTTCGTGGCAATTGATGCTTTAGATTCCGACGAGGAGTCATCAGCTCGATTCTGCAGTGAAGGTGAAGCTGGAAGTGACAGTGAGCTTTGATGTATCCTCTTTGGTATCAAACCTTCGAACAGTTGATGACTTTATGAAGATAAATTCTCAAAGTATGTTTACACTTGCTATTTGTATATTTCTCTAATTCGATACTCCCTCTGATCCAAATTACTTGCCCGATAAGAAAATTTGCTGTATGCCTCCCAAAATAAAAATTGACCACCTCCACGAATTTATTATTT